TCCTCCTCCTCCTCGACCTCCTCCTCCTCCTCCTCCTCCTCCTCCTCCTCCTCCTCCTCGCCTCCTGATCGACGCTTTCGACGACTCGGTCGTCCAGGCCCTGTGGGAGCAAGCGGCGAGCCACTGGTGCGGCGAAGGCTTGCAGCTTGGCGCTGACCTCGGGTCCCTGCAGGGCCTGTTGAAGGTGCTTGCCTCGTTTCCCCGCGGGAAGCGGCTCGCCGAGCTCATGGTAACCATCGCCGCCGGTGGAACGTGGCCGCGGCAGCGCCGCCTCGAAACCTTCGGCGACGTGGATGGCGATGGGGGCTTGTGTCCACGCTGCGGCCACTGCGTGGAGACGCCCTTTCATCGGCATTGGGAGTGCTCGCAGAACACTGGCTGCCCGGCCTACCCTCGCAGTGACCATCTCCTGCCTCGCGCACGTGCGGAGGCCGATGCAGCTGCATGTTTTTGGCTCCGGGGCGTCATCCCCGCCGCGTGGACAGCGGTGCCAGGCCCCGCGGACGTAGAGGACTGGACCACCATCGGCGGCGGCTTTGACGGCGAGCCCCTTCTTGGGCGCGGCACCGTCAGCGCGCCCTTGGCTCTGTTCGGCGACGCCAGCGGCGGCCCTGAGTCGAAGGACCCCCGCCTCCGGCGCGTCGGCGTCAGCGTCTGCCGACTGCGAGGCGGAGCCGTGGAGATCGCGGGCGCCGCCTTCGGCCACTGGTGGAGCCGCGGCAGACGGTGCACCGCGGCGAGTTGCGGGCCTTGCTCTTGGCCGTCCAGCTGTCGGCAGGTGACGTCATCTTCTTCACCGACAACCTCGCGGTTTGCGAGGGCTGGTGGCAGAGGGTCGATCAGGCCCCGTCTGGGCCAGACGCCGACTTGTGGCACGCGCTGGGGGCCGCCGTCGCCCGTCAGGCGCGGGCGACCGTGACGGTAGAGCACGTCAATTCCCACCTCACGGTCGAGGAGGCGGACGCCCGCGGCATCCCCGGAGCCGTGTTGCGGGGCAATGCGGTGGCGGACGTGCTCGCGGATACCGCTGCCGCCGAGTGCCGCGTCGGCGCCGCCGACCGTCCGCGCGTGGCCAGCGTGGAGGTTCTGGCAGGACAAGTGCGCTGGCGGCTGCTGAGGTCGACGCTGGACGCGGCCGCGGCGGAGCAGCCACGGCGGCCCAAGCGCGAGCAGCGGACCCGCGTGGCGCCACCCGCGCCCCGCCTGGTGGCTGCCTTCAGCTCGGGCCATGTGCTGGCGAGCGACGGCCGCAGCTGCAGCTCGTGCCGATGTTCGGCGTCCAGCGCGAGCCAGGCCGAGTGGTTCCGCAGCCCCTGCCACGGCCTGAGGCAGGTGACGGCCGTGCTGGCTGCGCTTGGCGGACCGCCCGAGGCCGCGGTCCAGATAGGCGGTGGAGTGGTGCACTGCACCCACCGCCTAGCGTTGCACAAGCCGCTGGACGTGTGGTTCTGCCGGGGCTGCGGCTTCTTCGCGCCCCCAGGCGGTCGGCAGCTAGGCGATGGCCTCCGAGGAGCCTGCCCCGCGGCGCCGACTACTGCCAACCCGCGGGGGCGGCCACCAACGGCCACGGGCAAGGTCTACCTGGATCGCCTGGGCCGTGGCCTGTGGCCCAAAGCGGGCTGCCGCCCAGTCGGGCGCCCCGCGGCGCTGGCTGGCCGAGCGGCCGATGACGAGACCGAGGGCTGACAGCCTGCTGGCACGAGCCCCGCGGGGGCGGCGGCCACGCGCCGTGCGGGCGAGGTCCTCGTGGCGCCGCGCTCGCTCTGAGCGCTGCGAGCAATAGCGGACGGGCGCACGACGCTTCGTCTCCACGGCATCTCCCGGCATCTCCTCCTCCTCCTCCTCCTCCTCCTCCTCCTCCTCCTCCTCCTCCTCCTCCTCCTCCTCCTCCTCCTCCCCTCTTCCTCCCCCCCCCCCCCCTCCTCCTCCCCCATCCTCCTCCTCCTCGTCTTCCTCCTCCTCCTCCTCCTCCTCCTCCTCCTCCTCCTCTGCCTCGCCTCCTCCTCCTCCAGGGCGGCGAAGAGCCTCCGTCCTGGGGCTTTCCGCGCGCTGGGTGTCTGCCGACAGTCGGGCTGCGGAAAGAAGGAGCAATAGCCGAGGAACGTAACGGAGCCCCCTTTGGGCCCCACGGGCGCCTGCGTGCACGAGGAAGGCTAGGAGGAAAGGCCATGAAAGGACCTAAGGAATATCGAGCCCCTCTCTTACCCAAAACTGTTCCTTGCTTCAGCGACTTGGCTGTACTCCTAGCAGTCCGTCGGGTGACCATGGAACCGCGGCGGCGGCGAGCTGCATTGCGGCCAGGTCCGCTGACGGGCTGGCGCACGGAATGGGGCGTCGGCCAGCGGGTTCCTCGCCTGTGCCGGGGCCGGTTCGGCTGCGAGTCACGGCGCGATGGAGGAGGAGGAGGAGGAGGAGGAGAAGGAGGAGGAGGAGGAGGAGGAGGAGGAGAAGGACCAGTGTAAACCCAAGACGCGTCAACGATATTACAAAAAAACACCCCTCCAAGTTTACTCTTCACAGGGCTCTCCAATCTACAAGAATTTATCCGTATTGTGGCATGTGCCCCGTTGGAAGGCAGCTGTTCGAGAATCCCCAGTCGTACCAAAACACACTTCCTGGGACTTTAGCGCCGCGAATAAAACGCGATTGCTGCGTCCTGGCAATTCTAAGTCGCATCTGAACACCCTTCCTGGGACTCCAACAGAGCGAATCGACGTGACTGCTGCACTCTGACAACCCTACATCGCGACAGAACACCATTCTGGGGATTTGAACCATACGAACCCTTTGCATTGTTGCACACGTTTGGAACGAATGCGCGCAGCGCTAAGGCGAAGTCACTTTTTGAAAACGACCCGCACTCCATGCGTGAAACGGCTGCAGGTGTTGAAAACTGAGTATGCGCGGAGCTGGAACGAGAACCACATTTTGGAAACGGCCTGCCCTCCATCCGTGACGCTGCTGCAGACTATTACAACGAATGTGCGCGGCGATGGGGCGAGCTCCACATTTGGAAAACGACCCGCCTTCCATCCGCGAAATTGATGCGCATGCCAAGCCTCAGAATCATAATGAAGGGGCCCTGGGACACACAAATAAATACACACAGATAACAGGATTCCCCATATTTCCCTACATTTTCTGGGTTTCGTCTTTCCCCCACTTCCCATATTTTCCCATATCTTCTTGAACATCGACGATTCATTGTGTGTGCGTTTTTTTCCCTCCCGACAGACTTCTATCCGCGAAATTGGTGCGCATGCCGAGCTTCAGGATCACAAATGGTGAGGCGGTCTCAAGCCAGACGCCCGGCCCGCCCCACCGACACGTCTGGAGGCGCGACGGGGAGCTATAGTCAGGAGGGGAAGGGACGGAGGAGGAAGAGGAGGCGGAAGAGGAGGGCACTGAGGAGGCGACGAGTTCGGTTCGGAAGGAAGAGGGGAGCGGGAGGAGGAGGAAGAGGGGAGGAAGAGGGAGGAGTGGGAGGAAGAGGGAGAGGGGGTAGGACAAGCTAGGTGCGCTCGCGTAATATCTGACATCCTGCCCCTCCCTCCCATCCCTTACCATGGCGTAGATCCCCTCTCTACTCGCACAGTCGGATGTCGAGCAGGGCAATGATCCCGAAAGGGTACGCGATGCATTGTGACGCACCCTTGATCATGTGGCGTAGAAGCCACGCACCAAGCTTAAACGCAACCTAACATTGCCTTGCATGCCGTGGCATGGCACGGGAAATGACGCCAGCACTGCAGCGGGAGCACGAGTCGAAACGAGCGGAAGCGCGGAAATGAGGCCAGCGCTGCAGCGGGAGCACGACTCGGAACGAGCGGAAGCACGGAAATGAGGCCAGCGCTGCAGCGGGAGCACGATTCGGAACGAGCGGGGCCTGAAAATGGGGCCGGCGCCTCAGCGAGAGCAGCATTTTGGAAAAAATGCAAGCGAAAACCCAACTCCGGGGAATCCTGTGCGTAACAAACAATACGCGGGGGGGGGCTAACACTTCCAAGCCGTCATCAGGGGAAGAGGGAGAGTAGTATTCATATTGAGTAATTGTAGAGGAAGAGGCACTGGGGAGAGGGGAGGGAAAAAAGGAATGGGAGAAAACAGAAGCCCCCCCCCGCCCTGTCAGGAGGGCGCCCCCTCGCGCCACCCCTGGGGGCACCGACAACAGAGGCCCACTTGGAGGGTGAAAATAACCCCATGCAGGTGAGAATGATTCCGTTCGGGGTCCAGGCGGGGTAATAATTTGTCCCCAGAGGTATCGATGTTAGGATGCCTGTATCGGTCTTCCAGATCGGCCTTCCAGAGCCTCCGTGATCCTTCTAGACTGACTTCAACCAGGGAGACGTAAATCTCGGGTTCGGGGGACTCGGGTTGGCCTAACCGGACCATCATGAAAATGACGAGACTCATAGCCTGAAATTTGACGCGAACTCTCGCTGCAAACATTCCACGAAAGCTGGACCGTCAAAGTCCAGGACGCGGTCGCCAAAAAGCGTCAAAGTCCAGGACGAGTCCCCGCGTTCTCGAGTCTGACGCTTCCCCGCTTCAACCACAGCCATCCATCGGGGGCGCGCAAACATGGATTAGCGATCCATGGATTTGGCGCGCGGTCGCCAACTCCATGGATCGGGGGATGTGCCCGGCCGGTGCCGCTTTTTTCGGCAGCGGAAGTCCGCGATTCCCAATGGAAACGAAACCCGTACCACGCCCCCTTTATCCATCTTTGTGATCGCCTGAAACCGCACTCCACACCGACTACCGGCCGCAGATGCCCTGCGCTTCGGGGGCAGGGGGGCGGCGGCGATGCGCCAGAGAGGCGCTCCTGATACACCGCGCACCTGGAACGGAGCCACGACCAGTCTGCCGAGTCCCCCCACGCGGCAGGCCCGGCACTGCGTGGCCCCAAACATTTCGACGCATCTCTCCGCAGCCCTCCTCCTCCTCCTCCTCCTCCTCCTCCTCCTCCCTCCCTCCCTCCATCCCTCCCTCCCTCCCTGCCTCCCTCCCCCCTCCCCTCCTCCCTCCTCCCTCCCTCCCTCCCCTCCCTCCCCTCCCTCCCCTCCCTCCACCCCCACAATTACTCAAATATGAAATCTGATACTGTACTTACTTACTATACTATCTACTCTCCCTATTCCCCTGATGGGGTAGGAACGTCTTTTGCGTATTCGCCCAACCCCCCCCCCCCCCCCCGCGTATTGTTTTTTACACACACACGATTCCCCGGAGTTGGGTTTTCGCCTGCGTGTTTTTTTTTGTGCTGCTTTCGCTGAGGCGCCGGCCTCATTTCTGCTCCCGAATCGTTCCGAATCGTGCTCCCGCTGCAGCGTGGGCCTCATTTTCGGATCGGTGTTTGGCCTCCGTCGTTCAGGATGGCGTTCTCGCCCCAGCGCGGGCCTCTTTCTCGCGCGCCCATCCGCACCGCTACCACCGCGCGCACCACCCCCGCCCCGCCGCACCACACCCCACCGCCACTTCCACCCACCAACGCACGCACGCACGCACGCACCGCCCCACCACCGCGCACCGCCACCACCACGCGCCTACCCACCCACCAGCCACCCACGCCTTACACGCGTCCACCACACCGGGGGCAAGCGCACGGGTACCAAGTGATAATACTTAATGGAAGTCGGCGGACTACACACGCCGCACGCACGCAACGGCACGCACGCACGCACGCACGCACACAACACACACGCACACGCACGCACGCACGCACGCACGCACGCACGCACGCACGCACGCACGCACGCACGCCGCACGCACGCACGCACGCACGCACGCACGCACGCACACACACACACACACACACACACACACACACACACACACACACACACACACACACACACACACACACACACACACACACACACACACACACACACACACACACACACACACCACCACCGCCACCACCACCACCGCCATCACGCACGTACGCACCTGGCCCACCACCAAACCACCAAGACGCCACACCACGTCACACCAAAGCACACTCGCACACACGCACACACACACATACACACCACCACCACAACAACCACAACCACGCACACACGCACGCACGCACGCGCACCACCACCCACTACGCACACGCGCGCGGAGCCACAGGTCCGCTACGACACGCGTCCGCGGATAGAGAAAATCAGCGCCATGGTAAGGGATGGGAGGGAGGGGTAGGATGTCAGATGTTGACGCGAGCGCACCTAACTTGCCTCCCTCCCCTCCCTGCCAAAAAGGGGAATCAGTGTGGTTCATGCCAATTACTCACTATGAATAAACTCTCCCTCTTCCCTGAAATGGCGTCCCGGATTTATAGCCGCGCCCTCCGCGTACTGTTTTTTTACACACAGGATGCCCGGGAAATCCCGGTAAACGACTCTCGCTGAGGCGCCGGCGTCATTTTTTCCCCAAAATGCTGCTCTCGCGCCGGCGTCATTTTTTCCCAAAATGCTGCTCTCGTTGAGGCGCCCGCCTCACTTCTGCTCCCGAATCCTTCCCCTGATGGCGTCCGGGTGATAGCCGCGCATCCTCCGCGTATTGCTTTTTACACACAGGATGCCCGGGAAATCCCGGGGAACGACTCTCGCTGAAGCGCCGGCGTCATTTTTTTCCCAAAATGCTGCTCTCGTTGAGGCGCCGGCCTCACTTCTGCTCCCGAATCGTTCCGAA